ACTCTTACAATTAGTCCCATTTAGCTCGTAATAAATATATATATTTTAGAATAAAGTACCATCTTTTATTCTCTGTATGCCAATTTATCAGTATCCCTACATACATTATCATTTTATTAATCCAAAACTGTGTTATTGTGCTGTGCTCCCTCTACATATTGAAAACGCGATTGTAACGAAGTCGTAAAATTAATCTAGCCTAAAGGCACAAGTGTTTCGATTTTAGAAGCGCGAATATTCCGAATCCCCTTAAATACGATGCTTATGTTCATACCGGAAATAGTAAATTTCCAAATAATACCTGGCGAATCTTCGACCAAACTCTGTATATTCAAATGCTGGATTAATCAAATTCAGACACGGGTCAGAGTGGACCCTGAGTTCACTGCTTGCGTAATCGGTCTATCGTGCAAGGGTTAATGGGAAATAGGGCACTAGGGACAGGGAGTTAATCAATGTCCTGTAATGACAATTTGCGACGAGTTTCTTCTCTACTGCAAGATCTTTTTATTCCCTATAAAATTCATATTAGCCTCTATAGAGAGTACCTAGATCGAAGATTCAACGCAGTGAGTAATTCGTGCATTTTAACAAGGCCCAAAAATTGGTAACGCTTCGGGTCTCGCGAAGGCTAAATCCGTCACTGGGTAATCCACGTGTCGACGACTTCGACGATGTCGTTTCGCCATAAATCGAGGCCATGGCTTAATACGATAATTTACGAGCGTGTTCTATCGTTCTCAACCACTGTGCGATTTCGGTGGAAGAAAGTCAGGTGCGGATTTTACAGGGTGCAACGATTAAGCTTCCGCTCTTCGTTCTGGGCCTTTAACCGATCGGACGAACCGACAGGTCCGATCCAAAGGTCGAGGTTGGATTTTACGATCGGGTTGCCGGAATGTCGGGCGAAATTGAAGTTCCATCTTTTCAGCGTCACGACTTCGAAATGTTGATGACTCGCCCCGCGTTAGGGGTGCGGATGCGATAATGACACGTTGTAGAATTATCTCGAATCGACGATGCTCCTCGAACGAGGCTGGAGTCTGATTTCATTTTCCGGTTACATCTCCCTCTGCCTTCCAATTGACTTTTTAATCGATGAAATGACAGCGGTCAATTTATCGAAATTGAACGAAGCACGCGTTCCATCGTGATTGAACTTTAGCCCGATATGCTCAATCTCGAAATGAGTCCACTCGCGAAGGGTTGGTGTATTTTTAGGATATTAAAAAAGGGTCGGGATTTTTTCCCCGCCATCTTTATTGACAATAACGCGTACTCCACGATATCGCCGTGAAATGTGACCTATATCTGCCGGAGAAGCGATCACGGGAGTTAAATCCCTCCGCGATACCCGTCGATCGTCGGCGCGCTTGACGTTGAGCAAACTCATAATCGTTCCGATTCGCGAGCCCTCAAAGCAACCCCTCGAACTTCCGACGTGCAAGAGGAGGAACTTGTTTGACAGAGCCTAAGGCGATTTCCAAGTCTCGCGCCACGGATTCTGGCCAGTACTTAATGTTGTTCCACTTGAAACTGCAATAAGTCTCCGAGACGTACTCCGAGAATCAGTGCGGCTTGTAATTAATCACGCTCTAGATACTTTAGGTATCAACCAATCATTCATTTCCCCTGACAAATATATTTGATGGAGATTTTCGTGCCTCGTTGTACGCACCATGATATTAAAAAGCTTCGCGCGTGTGATTTTTAGTTAAATTCGAATACGTTTTATATACAATATTTATTTTATTGTTTTTATTACTATTTTCTTTTATTTCGGTCACTATATATTTCAATTAATATATAATAATTTTTATTGTCTAATATAAACACGTTTAAATGCTTTATTTATATTTTTTCCCCCAGGTCCCGGGGCCCGGTAACTGCAATTTCATTCTCATATATATTCGCGTTCTCTCAACTTCACACTCGCGCAATATTTTTTTTTTTTCTCTCTCTCCACACATCCCGGGTTATTTTTTATTGCGGTTATGGTCATTTTATTATCCAGAGACTCTCTTCTCTTCTTTTTTGACGTAGACGAATTCGGGGATATTTCAGAAATTCGTAATATTTGAAAAAATCGAAAACAGTCCCGGTCGGGATTTGAACCCCGAAATTTCTGGGTAGAAGTCGAAGACCCGAGTCATTGCTCCACCGCGACTCTCTGTTATCGTTCTCGCGTTATCGCCAATTCGTATCGCAAAAAATCATAAATCGCGGCTTTTATATTTTTCCACCCGCAGCGTCCAATATACGTATATATATATACATATATATTCGCGAATATTCGCGGTTGAGGAATATGCAAAATTCTCGGCTCTCTATAGTGCGAATATTCTTCGGGTTTCCCTTCGAATTAACGATTATGAGCGTCTGGTTATTAGGTTGCCGTAAATTCACGCGGGATAATTTAGTTCTTAGGTTACATTAGCCGTTCCCGTTTTACATCTGTTCTCCGCTGCCTCTGTCTTCCGTTCGCGGAATCTCAACGGCAAACAAAAGGATCGTATCCATTTCCGCAGATCCTAACTCGCGACATCCCCGCAGGGATATATTCTGTGTGCGCGCCGGCACACCTTACGAGTACCGCGTAATTCCGTTGTTTGCCAGTCAACCGAAACTCGTCGCTTTATTTAATTAGAAGCGACAGAAACGCTTTTAACGTCCGCGGAAATGATAAATCGCGTTTATTATAACGCCACTAACCCCTCGACCATCGGAAGCCGCGCTTTAAATGCTCCCGTGACGTTTAACGCGCGTAAACGTACTCCGACGGATTTTTAATCGAAAGCTCCGACGATTCTCCTTCGTTTCCCGTCGTTTCGTTTCGGCAATTTCCGTTTTCGCTCCGCTAACGACGAAAATTGATCGAATTCGATCGTTCGATGCCTCCACGCCGCGGAGCTTTCGCATCGAGCACAATTTTCTCCGATTTCTCTCCTTTCGGGGACGAATTTCCACGCACTGCGCAGACACGTCCACCGCGCTCGCTTCCGCTTCTTATCTTCGCCCTTTCTTCTGGAAAAAACTTCAACCACGGAATCGATAACTCCAGCTCGCATTGTGCTTAGCGTTAGAAAAAAAGATGCTCCGAAAGTGAATATCCTCCACGAATTCCGTTCCCCCGTGTCAGAATTCCAATTAAATCTACCCTGCGATCCTCCATCGATCGATCGATTCCGAACGCGTTCCTCGTATCGACGTTCCGTCCCTTCAGGTCTCAGCCTTTTAAATCGCTCGCAGAATTATTCTCTAGTTACGCGCGAGACGTACGAAGGTTCTAGTTCGGCACAAGGGACGAAACACCCCTTGGCGTTTTCCCAGAAAATTTTAATCGAAACTCCCGCACCATCAGCCGAGAGTTAACGAACTCCACTGGGTGGTTAATGTTCGAAAATTTTGACCTCTCTGCTCGGCGAAAAGGTTCTTGTTCAAATTAGATGGGCGGGGCTGCAGCTTCTGAATACCAACCATCGGCCGCCATCTGCGAACCGTTGGTCGAACAATCTTGGAAACTGCAGCTCGTGCAGCACGGGCTGCAATCGTTCGAACCCCCGACACGCGATTCTGTGGCTTCTCCTTTCCCCTTTACCACTCCATCGTGCACTCTTGATCGATGTCTAACGACGAGCCAGCGACTGAACGTCCGTTCGCAAAATCGCGAAATCTCCGGAAAAGCTCGACTAAAAATTTCCACGAACGTTTCCGGGGGTGAATCATCGAAATGGATTCCGTTACGATTCCCGACCACGTGTTTCTCCGGTCGCTGTAATTCCCGATTTTTCGTCGGCATAGTCACGGGGTGCGAATATCATCGAATACCATGACAGAATTGGGCGCGAAGGGTTGCAAAATCGGCCATAGTCGAGGGAAAGGGGTGTGGTGTCGGTGACGACGAGTCAACGTCGCAACGTGGCGAATTTTCAATTTTCTCGGCTGTTTTCCGCAGTGTGGTCGCAAAATTCGAGGCCAGGTCGACTAAAGTTTAGGAAACGAGAATCGTAGGATCGCGAGAGACGTAGGCGAAATCCGCGAGCGGCGAATTCGCACGGCCGCTAATCAATGATGTATCTTCGGTCCGCGTGTGTGCGCGTTTCCACGAGAAACTTCGTCCTAGATATCCGAAAGCCCCGCGGCGGCACGGAGGGCAGGTTTGCCCGTATTATTCGGCCATGGGTTGGCAACGAGACGCGCGCAAAGTCCCGAGAATAATTACAAGTTCGCCATTGAATCCGGAATGCGCTAAACAACGCGGAAACAGCCGCATTGCGATTCAATGATTAATTCAATCTCGGGCTAATGCATACTGATCCGGTCGCAGCCGTGTGTTTGGATTGTTTTAAACGACCCTGCGATGATAAACGCGTCTGCAACCCCTTCGGCCCGATCCGGCTAGATTTCGCGAATTCACAGAGATGCATCGGACTCCGGGGACGCCGGGGATATGATAATGATTGAAATGTGACTCGCGCGAAGACGTGACATCGAGATTGGACAGTTTAATGCCCTTTTCGGATCCGATCTGTAATGTTTGCACATGGCCGGGGACTGTCTCCGGCTGAAAAATGTAGCGGTATCGTTAGTTCACGCGTTTGCACGAACACGTGAACAAATCTAGTTACGGCTCGTTAACGGTGTACAATTATTAGCCTGCTGTAAACGTCCACGGTCCCCTTTTTTTCCTACTTCTCTTTTCCTTTTTCTTCTTTTTCTTTTCTTTCCGACCGGTCTCTCGCGACGGGTTTATAAATCGTTAAGTCGCCTTCGTCGCCTGAGATCTTACGCCATAGGGTATCGTTTAGAAAATGAAGCAAACAATTCCGGCAAACTCTGGTTGATTAACGCGGTGTCGTGTGCTTGGTAAAATTTTTAACGATTTCGCCGGTTCCTCTCTTATAAATTATACTACGAACCGGTCCAACGATAATCTGTACCCCGATGGGATCACGGACACGACAGGCCGCATTCGTATTCCTTCCAGACGAACAGTCAGGATGTACATCCTCGTAGTGTGCTATCTCACGTGGGTATCGCAGGTTTCAGGGGTGAAAAACATCACACACGGGGTAGCGAGGCATCTTAGATCTATTGGATTTCCCGAGGGCAGCGGCATGGGGGTGAAGTACAGAATCAATCATTAATATTTTATCGACTAATGGCATCGGTGATTCTTTCACTCGATACCGTCCCCGCAATTTGATTTTTCATCCCAGAAACGCATGAAATACTGGATAAATTTAAAGAAAATATTGCACGTCGCAGTGTGGTCGTTCCACTACGGTGTAGAAGCAAACGGTTATCGGGAAGGAAATGGTTCTTTGCAGATATTCTTCGCCCTCGGAGTACCCGTAGATATTCCGGACAAATCGGTGTTATTCTCCGTGTACTTCGAAGCGAATTACGCCCTGCCAGGGGAATGGAACTCCAGTTATTACGTGCACGAGCCGTACTTCAAGAAACGAAGCCTGGATCGACGGCTGGCGTACGACATTCTCGCAAACAAATTAGAAAGGTAAAGAAACCGATGGGAGACAATGTGTGAAAAAGAAAAGAAGGAAAATGAAACGCGATTTAATCCCAAAATTGCGATATTTTCTTTTACAGTTTCGGATACTCCGGGGATAATTGTCTACTGAGAATGATTTGTGAAGTGGCGAATTATCCTTTAACTGGTAATGGCGTGCTTGGCAACGTGTTGCAAATTTTATTCACGTGAGTGGTTAAAGTATCGTATAAAACGTAGTTTCAACAGAAATTATGGATTAAATTGTCTACAAGCTTCGAAAGATATTTTGTTAAGAGCATGCTTTTTTCCGAAAAGGAGTCTGTAACGTTATTGTATTTTTGTCGCAGGCCATCCTCGTCGCAGGATGAAGATCTCCCGAGCGAGATCACCGAGGCTGAGTACGCGAAGGACTGCGATAACCGTTATAAAAAATGCCCAGAAAGTCCATTAGCCTTGATAAGGCACTATGATCTCGACGATAATAGTTAAAGAAGCCACCGGTATTAAACGCAATCTTCATAATGCTCGATATAGTACACGGACTGTCAGCCGACAATGAGCCTTTTAAAAATACACGTAACGACCTTTATACCTGCGAGATGAATAATATTTATCTACATCGATAAACAGTATGTTTGTACAATATTGTATCGTTTATTGTATGATTTGTTAATATCGTATGAATTACTGGAAATGAGGAACATTTCGATTACTTACTAAGCATATCAGTTTACCGAAGAAGAAGACATCACCTATACATCTTTACAGTATTTTCTTAAACACACGAGTCGATCTAATTCGACGTTAAGTAGGAATATTATCTAACTCTCTTCGAATTATCGACCAAATTTATTACACAGACGCTACACGCGATACATTTCAGATAAAGGACTAACTTCGATTTTCTAGGATATCGTTATAAATACACAGGACATATGCGTATATAGCTTATTTAAAATAACATTTTAGAGTAAGAAAGCATGTCGGTGTGAAAAATGTCGCAAAATAAACAGGAACTTTTCTTCAACGATAGAAAATATGTGTAATGTGTTCACAGTTGCTTTCCACAGTAACAACGTATGAGGAATAACATTTACAATACCACAGAATCATGGACGCGAAGTAATAAATAGCGAAACAAAAATTTAGTCCAAGTTCGATGAACGAAACACTTGTTTACTTACAGATTAAATCGACGTTACACATTAATCGAGTAAACGTAATTTCATTTCGCGATTAATTGGAGCAAATAGACCATTCAATACCATCGCTTATAGTGATACAAGATCATTTCTCGATATAATTCTTAAGTTAAGTGTTTGAATTGTCTTCGAGTTTCTTCATCCATACGGGCGAAATATTATCTCCACTCCTTGTGTTTCCATTCTGAAGATAGTGAGACATATTTTCGTATACCACGAACGTGATCACGGTCGCTGGAGTTACCCTGGTCAGGTTTGCACACAGACCCTTGTAAAAGCCACGCCACCGTTCATACCTGCAATTAACCACCAGCAATACTCTTTTATTAATTGCTTCCTCTTTTTCATCGTTGATTGCGTAGGACTTTCTCAATTATTTACGATGCACGTTCTCATTTGCACTAAACTTGAACCGGCGTACGATTCTTGTCGTGATTCATTCATCAAAGTGTCTCTCTAAAGAAGAAGGTCATCGTACGTCACGAACATTCTAAGCGATAACCATACATTGCAGACGATTACCGTAAACAGTGCACGTACTTTCATTGTCTCCTTTCACTGATGGATACATTATGTAAGAGTCTCTTGTATATTTCTATTTACGTTTTTATCTGCTTTTTTAATCGCCGTTGTAAATTTCTTGGTAGATGTAGCAAAGTGGTTTGATAAAGCATCGTATTCATCCGTGTGAAATTAAAAAAAATGGATAAAGGAGTTTCTTAAAATTTAAACAATTCCAATTCTACATAGTTTATTTCTCATTCAGATGGTTTCATCTCTTTGATATGTTGTACACATACAACGTCATAAATCATACGTAATACGTCCAAAAATCGTACCGCTGGTGGTTTAACAAATGATTCGTCTAATCGCAATTACGTTTCATGTTTCACATGCACGCGACCATACACCAACCACATACGTAAACACTGCTCTTCTACATATCGTCCGTGCGTTAACAACTGTGGTCCCGCCACAGCGATTAATTCATGAAAGTCGTCAAAAAAAAAAAAAAAAAAAAAAAAAAAAGATAAGTGATCAACACGAAACTGTATTTGAAAACGATCATCCGATTCAAAGAAAAACATCTGAACAATCAATTACTGATATCAGGTCAGGAAGTGATACACACCCTCCCAAATTTTTGATCGTTTAACAAACATTTTTCTTCCAACAAGTTATATAAACTTTACGCATAATTCGTTAAAAGCTTTGCGCTTGCTATTGCGATAACGAAAGAGCATTTCAATAACTCGTTTCATTAAGTCATTCATTTTTTAAATAATCAGTTCCTGTCACGACTGGAAATATGTATAAATAAATTGAACCTAGTACTTGAAAATTGAAATGACATCGAATTTTATTGCTATATTATCAGTTGTGCCGAGTACCAGACTCTACAACGAACTTTGCAACATTTACCTATTGATGTCTCAAAATGAGGTACTTATATCCATTGCATACAGAAATATAACATAGGTAAAAATTAAACCGTAAATAATTATTACATTCCTACGCACATCTCCCTTTCAATTATTTTTAATCGAAACTTGTGATCAGCATTGTTGCTTACAGATCACACGAGGGCCGGAAATTTCTCTATTTATTTTCACATATTCGCATTAAAAAATGGTTTGCAAGTATTGCAGGTATACGCATGATTTGTTATTTACGCAATCACGCGACTTCCATTTTTTTCGTAACACCATGTACCTTTCGTCAATTATATTTTTACAATGAAGTACAAACTATTTTTTAAATAAAACTGTTCTTAATTCAGGTATAAATAACATTAATTTATAATAAGTAGGACTATTGAAATGTAATTTCTTCTTAAAGGAATATTAATACACTTGACAGATATCATATATTTGAGTGCCAGCCCAAAGAAACATCGCTAATAAAAAAAATAATTTAATCCTCTGTAAGCCCTACAAATTTTCTTTCCTTCATGTCTCATAGAAGAAAATAAAATTATTCTATATACGCAAAATGTCGAATAAATAAAATATATGCTTGATCTGTATAAATTATTGTATGTTCGAGAAGTAAAATTAAGAATCGTTTTATGCGAGAAAATCTATAATATCATTCGTTTTCTATGTTTTTCACTTTTACTGTACGAAACAGTCATAACATGATCGATAAGCGTTGTAGACTGTTTCTAATTGATCCTAGTAAAAAAAAAAGGAATCTAGTGAATTGCGCGTTCTTAAAATTCTCAAAAATAAGTTTGAATAAGTTAAACGTGTATTTCTAAAACATCAAAACATTTACCGAGAGGTGTAAATTCGATAAAAGTGCTGTTACTAAGAAAAATAAAACTAGCCCCAATAATATTCATAATGTAAGTTACCGTCCTAAACAGAGTTCCCAAGAATATTGCCTAAATTAATCGAGTAGCTGTATATACTACAACCACTATATAGCTATTTTTTTCTTAATTTATTCCTTTGCGGTAAGAAATATTCGATATTAAACAACACTATTGTTTCAATAAAGAGATACTAATGAAAAATACAACGTGAAAATACGATAAAAGTTTACCACGTCGAAACTAAGAATGGATGTATTGCTTTAACATTTGTATGAAGATATATACATGAAGAAATAATAGTGTTTTTCTAATAATACTGTTACAAATGTACCTCCGTGTAACGACGAGAAAAAGAAAGAAAAATGTCAGAGATGAAAAGAAAGAATATAAGAAATTTTAAAATACAACCCACACAAAATGGCCTCAAATAAAAATGATCTCTTGATTACCTCTATCGGTTTATAGATTACATATAGGGCTGAGAAAATTCCAATATCAAAGCGTAATTCTATCTCGAAAAATTATAGAATATTTAAATGAAACTAATATGTTCTCGTTTCCTTCTACATTTAAAAATTTTCGATTAATGTAACCTCAAGAGTCAATGAGAGTTTGTAGGCACATTAGAAAATGTTTCATAAATTACGATAATTAAACAAATATTTGGTGTAACATGTAAAAGATAGGGTGTTAAGCCTTTATAAAAACCCCTTGTTCCTTCTGACCTCCATATCGATTTAATGCAATGAACACTGCCTCTGTAGTTGTGATGATGGTCTTGAAGTCGTGCTCTAACAACTTGATAAGGATAAGTCGAGGCAGCGGCAATTAATTTCGAAACTGCCGCGAAGAAAATGTATTCCCATGTGGCCTATAAATGAAGATAACATTTTTGCAAAGTTTCCTTTCAAGTGGCAAACCAATTCAACATATAAAATCGTATACCGAACGTACCAGCTTCGTGTCAATTGGCACATGCAAGTAATTGTTATACCAATTCTTCAATTCTTCGTAAACCATAAATTGAATAGCACCGTGGGAGACACCAAACATGCCAGGTACAAAGCCCTGTGAACATTTCATAATACAATTAAGCAATTAAAATTAAACCTAGGCTCGATATAGCTTCTTCATCAACCATAACTTCTCTTACCCGATACAAGCCTCTGACTCCTTCGGTCCTATAAATCTTTCTAATTGCATCTACCATACCATTGTATCTAAGTGTTTCCGGAAGATGTTTGTCGTCCATATACTGCAAACATAGACGCGTTTTTACTACCCAAAGCGGATTTGTCATAACTAAAGTCAAAATCCCAGCGTCCGCTGCGGCGAACATGTGCATAGTAGGACCTAAAGGCTTCCTACTATTTCCACCTTGGATCCATGTTTTAATGGTATTGTAACTGAAAACGAAAACATTTGCCATATATTATTTATACAATTCAATCAGGCTGAGAAATGCTACGATGAAAAGTTTCTCTACTAATTAATATCGTAGAAGGTTCTTACAAAAAGAAGTAGCAACCCCACGCACCACCAGATCCTAAAACGTTTGGCGTTACACCTCTGTAAAGTCCCGTCACTCCTTCAGTCTTAACAATTTGCATAACCGCGCTTTTGAGGCTCTTGTATTGCGGACCCACGCGTGAATGTCCATCGCTAACTGTAAAAAGAACACGATGACGAACATCTTGTTTATTTGATCGAAGGAAGAGCTAGACAGAGGGCAGGCGAGCTGACATGTGAATTCTTTTAAAGGGTACCATTGTCCGGAACGGTCGCTGGTTCTCCTCGTTCGACTCTCAGCGATAACGTTGAGGAGCCAAGCGATAAGCAAAATCTAATTATTTTTTCTCTGGTCACGTGTCACGGTTTATCTAACGAGTTTATTGTAACTTCAGCCTCGTGACACTTTGATTTGCCGTGGAAATATTATTTTATTTTTAATTGTATTACTCTGACGAATCCGTTCGAATAAACATTAGCCTACCATGGGTGCATTTAATTCGTTTGCTCGCAAACAACAAAGAAACAATTCTTCATTATTATTCGCATACACGAGATGTTTATTGCGATAAGCTATCGACGTATTACATATTTGTAAACGTGTTGCAGCCTGTCGGATTGCAACATCGGAAAACTTCTTCGAACGGTGATAATAAATTCTTAATAACAACAATAGCGGTAATGTTTTCGTGAATATAACCCTGCCAACGTTTTACGTCGAAACGTGTTACAATTGCACGCTCTACGTATGTGTAACTACAAGCGAATCGGTCATTTGATACACGGCTTATCCATTTTGGAGTTAACGAATATTCCATGCACGGGCCCTGATACGAATTTCCATGGGAACGTTAAATTTCAAACGACAAATGCAAATTACGGATAATACAATTGTTCAACATGTTATTACTCGATGAGAATAAATTTCGAATACTTCATTCGATCGCCATGGACGAGTTTTCAAACGATTAATTCAACGAATTGATATTTCCCTCCTACGAGGCGGGACTTCGAATTCACGAGAAATGCGTTAAAATTTAATCGTCCGAGCTCACGTGTTTCTGACGCAATCCACGGAATTTCTTGCTGTTTGGTATGAAGCCAACGAATTTTACGACGAAAATACGACGGAGTACGAGCCTCCTGATGACATCGACATCGGCCTTTCAATGATAACGAGATCAAAAGCTATGGTAGATAACTTTTTTTTTTAAACCCTTGCCATTTTAAAATTTCCTCGGGCCCAAAAGCCTCGGGTAGGCTGGAATAAGTGCTCTTGGATCAATGGATCACACGAGCAGACTGGTTAATTAATGCAAATGACGTCAATAAATGACGGTAAGCTTTTTGATGGACAACGTAATAAACATTTCAATTGCCATTTGCCAGAATGCATATAAATACAAGGAAAACGAACAATACCAAGCAACGGTCGTCGTTCGCTGTATTGTATTGAATAACATTAGCGATAACCTGGTCAATTCCGAGTACTCTTTTAGTAACTTGAGCATAAGCCTCGTGTCGACTGTAACATTAACGATAATTTTCAGCCAGAGATAAAAGAACTTCCTGTGTGCCACTGGAAATCGTCAATACCCTATTAAATTCGAATAATTATTATACAGCTTATATGAAAATGTAATATGCATAAATAAGATATGTTGAAATAAATAAGAAATATTTTGCAAACCAATATAGCACTGTGTGCTTAATTAGCCACTGAGCTGTCCGTTGAAATGGTCACGAGTTGTTCCCACTATTTCCTGGAATTACTCGCACCGACCAAGCTCCGACATTATTTACAATTCGTATCGGCGATGAGTCAAGTCGTAACATGCTTGGTTGCGAATAGTACTTATAACCGCAGGAATGTCCACTTTCCACTGCTAAATGTGATCGAAAGTTGACCAGAACTTTCCATTTCATTTCGAAACGGGTACTTCGGGATCGCTATAATCTGAATTGCACATGTTTCTTTTGCCAATTCCTTATTTTTCTCATCTCGGTTGATATATACATACTCCGACAACGATCGTTCAATAATGGCTATCGTAAACGTGTCATGTATATTTACATCGATTATAGACATTTTTTAATACAATTGCAATAAACAGAAGCAAAATTTTTCCATTCGAAACATTATTACTAGATAAGATTATTCTGTTTTAGAAAGTCTCATGTTTCGACGATAAGAGACGTTTTACCGGAAATTTCACGTAGTAAGTAACTAGGACTGAAAGCGCGGTAAATATAAATAGCATGGCGCTATTCGATTATCAACTGCCGACGTCGGATTAAAATTCTAAAAGAAAGATAAAATTTTGTTTGGACAAAGCATACGATAAAATCAATACTGATAAACTTCACTTCCGGCCGTGTAAAATATCCAATTTATGAATTTACAATAGACCATGACGAACGAGCTAAAGTTAATGGTGATAGGAAATTTCTAAGCCGGTTTAAGATATTTCTCGATTCTTCTAGATAACGCCATGTGCTTTTCTCGCTCGACCTTGTCTCGCTTGAAATGATAGGAGCATCGACCGGAAACGTCATTGTTTTTTTTGCTCTACTCTATCCATTTACCACATATCAGATATGTTAATGAACCTAGGCGACGAATGAAAATACCTGCTCGTGACATATGTTCAAGATTAAATTGACTATCTATTATCTTAATTTAGCTACTGTAAAACTATGACTAATAGTCGACATTATACCTAGTTCCTAGTTAGATTTCACAACGAGAAAGTTAATAGGGACAAAACTGTTGCGGCGAATGTGGCGTATCATTTGTTTCGAAATTACATCATAAATATAATTATTATAAGGTCTCTGCGACTGCCAACTCCACGTGAGAATGAAACTAACGACATTATGAATCGTTTATAAGTCAAATGGTGTAGTGTCACGCGTATGAATCATAGAAAGAAAACAAAAACAGTGAGGACATTTTCTGTGTTTAACATGGATAAATATAGACGCAGTGCGTGCACCACGTGTCTATATCGAACAGATCGAATCTGTACCCGCCATTTGCATCCGCAACCGTTATGTCGTCAGCAATGACACACTCGTATCGTTTACCTGCAAATCTGGTCTTTATCAGGTCCAGGGGATGCAGCATTAGCGTGGAAACCACGCCGCCAGATATACCAGCGACGAAATGCTCGTATTTAAAGTGGCTCAGCACAGGTAAAACACGAGCGGTTCCCGGTGAACCACTGGACTTCATTGCCGACATTTTTCCTGTATCAAGCTGCTCGTCGTTCAGTATCGATCCGCCAGCGGAAAATCCAGACGCACCCTTTACAGCGCTAGCAATATTCGCCTCCACTCTGCGGCATATCTCTTGATCCGCGGCAGGCAGTGTTGTTGCGTTTGCGGTAGCGCGAGGCACAGCTGAAATCGCCTCTACGGTTTGATGATTTTCTCCCTCTCGCTTGCTCCTTTTAGCCGATTACGCAATGAGGCAAGACGTCACACGCACCGAACACCACGATACTAAATGTCTGACTGCCCGCGTCAAGCGCTTTGCGCATTGTCTCTTCTACCACGATCACGACTGCCATCTACCGGAGGCTCGGGAAGCAGCGCTCTTCGCCGCGGGGAATTCAATTCAAATTATGTGCACGAGTCATTCGCCGACGCGGCTTCGATAAGATGGTTTTATCTATCAACTGTTTGTTTTGCAACGTTTTTCGTTACTCGTTACTTTTTAAAACGATCTTTTATCGACCGTTTTTGATTCTCAATATTGTCAAAGTAAAATGATAACAGTAATAACGCTGCGATAACGTTGTTTTATAATAAGAAACGAAAAACTTTTCAAAGATATTTATTATTAAATAAATAAATTTTAAGAAATGAAGAAAACAATGTTGTGATTAATATATACCTAGTTAACTAAAAGTTTTTAATTAGCGAATATTATTATGATTCCTACTCTAGATAAAATTACAAGTATCACTCGACGAATTTTGCGAACTAGATGAATTAGATAACTGCAAAACCTGCTTCAGAACGTTGAAAATTGCTTATCTTTTGAATGCTGATAGGACGAGGCGTGTATTGGTGATCGGCGATGAACGGATAACGAATTTTTTATCTGTTGTCACGATAGAATATCTCAGTTACCGTTCTCCTTTACTCTTGTATTAGCAGTCAGTGAATTGATCAATTCACTCCACTCTATATTTTGCTTAGTGAATTATAGTAAAGAAAAATCCATCTGAGTAAGTGAAAGGTAATAATCGCTGGTGTGTCATCTCTAAATCAACAAGCACAATAACTAGTATTACGTTTGTAAAAAATACTTTGATGGAAATTATCGATGATATTGTTAATATTTTTGAAGTACATCGTGTATCGACGCAAGTATTTTCTATTGATTAAATAAATTTCGTGTTAAGGATTTCATAGTAATTTATAAACGATTCACGAAAGCAAATTATTATATCCTGTGTGATTTGGATGATAGTGAGTGGATGATGACAGTAGGTGAAACAAATAAATAAAGAAAATACTCGATTCAACTAAAAAAGGAGAAGATTTACAGCAACAGCATCGGTTCCTAAGCCCGCATTTATAATGGTAAGCATTTTTCTACCTTCATATTATCTACCAAGCATTTTATAAATCCAAGTATGCAAAATGTCAAGAAATTCGATCCGATATGCAAACTCGTAAATTCCCCTGCCGAATAATCATGTTTCTTATCGATATTTTACGTGATCCAATCGTATACAAAACAAGTAGACTCTAATCCAAGACTATTTCAGTGTTAGATTCTATTCTGTTTATGAAAGATATGAAATATTTACAATAAAAATGTATGTAACGTTACTTGCGGCAGAATACTGAAGGTCACCCACGTTTAATTGCATCTTGTTAAAAGCCATGAAACGGAAGGTTATGTGAATTGATTACACTTCGAGTTCCTTAATGCATTCTACGCGTCAAAAAAATCTGTTTCAATGTTATTTCAAATGGACTATTAATCGCAGCTTAGCGCCGATTTATTTATCTATATATATCAAACAGAGCAAACGTCAGTCATCTTATATAAAATACCAGAACAATTACAATAAATTGTCTATATTTATTCGGTATAAAAGTAAGAGATTCGTGTACACAATATCACATTACAAATTACCACGGACAATGAGATTTTCTCATTCAAAAATATTACAAGCACATAAAAAGGATAACAACGATTGACCTAGATGCAGTATGCACGTGTAGGCTGTGCTGATCATTAGCACTATTTACCTAGAGACTTCTCAAGTTCAGTTATACTCGGCTACTCGTATAGTTGTCTGCCTCACCTGTGATATCTTGGCAATCGTGAACCAGAACAATCACACGGTGAAAAGAAAGTATGATGTGGAATCATCTTGACGGGTGGATTTGTTCGTGTTACAAGAAGACGCGCTATAAGTACTTGTGCCTTTTGGTGAGTGTAAACCAGCATCTGTTTCGTAAAGACGAGATGAAAAGTGGTCGAAGGCGAAGATCAAGGATAAATTCATTACGTGATCGAGTGTTTGCTCATTCATTCGCACTGCTATCCAGCCATCTCAGACATTTCCTATTATATTTTTAGGCTGCCGCGACCAGTATATGTATCTTCTGTTTGACGTTCGATTAACTCAATCCAATTTCATAGCGGTTGCCATATACTCGTTGTACTCGTTCATGTGAATAACTTTGCTGCCAGTTGCTGGAGCTGACGAAGGTGATCTACCAACGTATTGTATATCTTCCAAACGCTTTCCTAAGGCTAACGCTATCCTGTCCCTCACGTATGTGTATGCTCCTTGATTTTTGTGCTCTTCTTGCAACCACATCACCTGAAAACATGTATCGCGTAGCTATATTTCAAACTGTCTTGGAAAAATAGCCCAGGTCGATCTTCACCTTAGCATTCGGGTACTTGAACATTTCCTCCGCGAGAAGGTGATATGGAAATGGACAGTATTGTTCAATACGAATAATCGCTATTTTATCTTCCAATTTCTTCCCTTGTCGTTCAGAGACTAAATCGTAATAAATCTTTCCGCTACAAAGCAACACCTTTTGTATGATACCTGGTTTAACTAAAGGATCCGGAAGAATGGGCCTAAAGAAGGTACCGGGTTCCATTTCTTTAAAAGACGATAAGGCCATTGGATGACGCAGCAAAGATTTGGGAGTCATAATAACCTGGTCGAAAGGATAAGCTGTCGTACCTGATTTTCACTGAACAGTAGAGACAATAGATTTAGACGGATTAAGGTATGACTAACCAACGGTTTCCGGAAGGGCATGTGAATCTGACGGCGGAGGGCGTGGAAAAGGTTCCCTGGTGTCGTTAAGTTGCAGACGATCCAATTTATTTCGAATAATTGCCGTGTCATAATTTGCTCCGGTGTTTCGCCAGGAGGTGCACCTGGTTCCGTTCCCGGAATATGGGTGTAATCATCGTCACAAAGCTCGAGAAATCTCTCGATCCTCGCGGACGAATGTTCAGGTCCCTGACCCTCTAGTCCGTGTGGCAACAGGAGAACTAATCCTATCTGTCTACCCCATTTCGATTGTCCGGAGCACAAAAGAGTATCTATAGTGACCTGAACGGATATAATTTATCAAGTCTCGTTACTAATATTCACGTTCGTATAAAAGCTTCCAATATATTACAGTATTAACAAACATCTGCGATAACTATAAATAAAACTAATTTTAAATGTCGATTTTACGATATTAGAGATTATATCGAATCCTTGTACCGTTATAATTAAATTACAATATTGCGTGACAATGATGCCCGAAATGATTAACTGGAATTACATGTACCTGACACGTGTTAGCAAAATCGCCAAACTGGCCTTCCCAGATCGTCAGAGTGTTATGATTATAAGCGGAGTATCCTAATTCGAATCCTATAATCATGATCGATAACAATTTATCGGTTTCTTATCGCGAACAAAATTTTCTTCTGCCGAAAGTGGACTCACCGCAAACGCCGTATTCGGACAACGAAGAATTGGTGACAGTGTACAACGCTTGCCCTGGGAACACGTCATGCAGAATATTTTTGAACGTTTTATCTCTGCTCTGATCGTGAATAATGTGAATACGATGAGAGAAGGTGCCCCGTTCGACATCTTCGCCGGATAATCTCACATGGTGACCTTCTTTCAGTAAACTGAGAAATGCTAAGCATTCACCCATCGCCCAGTCTGCCTGTCGAGATTCCATCAACTGTGCTCTCTTATCCATTACTCTTAAAACCTGCAGAAATACATTAAATCGTTCCTTTCCTCGTTATTTCGCTGGTTCGAGACTCTCAAAATCGTCCTATCTCTCCAGGAAAATTGATGAAACCTTCGCCGATCACGTCCATCGAGGGCACTCTGATACGATATCAGCGCGTCCCCTTTGGAGAAAATCAATCGAAACGTTTAATATGTTGAAACACGGAAACACACTTCCGAAAGAGTACACCGCACCCTACAGTTTATTGGCACAATCATCGCATACCTGACTATGGGCTTCGATATCTTTCGGAGGAGTTGATATGGCTTTGCAAATCGCCTGAATGGTTTCTATGTCTATGCCTGTAGGTGGTATTTTATTCTGTGGGCTTTGATTCGCGAAGAAATCGGTCCATGGTACATCGTGCCAATCGCTCAATTGCATCGAGTCTATAGTTTTCGCCTTTTCAAACTCAGATTCGCAATAGGCCCAATATTTGTCGATCTCCTGTAAATAAGTAAGAATTTGCAGAGGAAGAACAACTGGATACTTGGCAATTCGAAATAGCTGTCACATTTCAATGTTTTCTTTACTTCTTTAGCATATGCTTCGGTTATCACGCCTTCCTTCAACAGTTTTTCGCTATAAATAGCGAGTACATTCGGATGCTGCTTTATCCGTTTGTACATTAGAGGTTGCGTGAGCATCGGCTCATCCAATTCGTTATGTCCGAATCTTCGATATCCGACGATGTCTACGACAACGTCGTTGTGAAACTCCGCTCTGCAATATTAATTTATGATCGACAGAATAATCATCCCCATAGTTACAGATAAAAGGTTACCTATAGTCCCCGGTAACTTTGCTACAATAGGTTACTAAGTCGGGATCGTCTGCGTGTATATGGAATATGGGAGCATTTACAACACGTGCTACATCCGTGCAATGCTCACTGGATCGGGAATACCTGGGATCGGTCGTGAAACCGATCTAAAGTTCATCGACATCGTTAGAACAATTGATTATTCATTAACGAAACAAGTTTGTAGATTAAATTAAAGTGTATTATTACTTGGTTGTTTATCACAAGATGGATGACACCACCAGTCGTGTAATTTGGTAAATTGGTCAAATGCATAGTTTCGTAACAAACACCTTGGCCCGAGAATGCTGCATCACCGTGAACCAAAATAGCCACCGATCTTTTGCCCACTGACATAAATAAATTTTTGAAGTTGATTCTTTTCATTAACAGATTCGCGATTTACATACGTACACTTCGCATCGTTCTTTTCTACTTGCTCAGCTCGCACACGGCCAACTACGACAGGGTCGATCGCCTCCAAATGAGAAGGATTGGCCATCATAGCGACGAGAATCTTTTTCTTGGTTCTACAAATCACCTCAGCTGAATTATGTTATAGTTTCGTCAACTTCGACAATTTGACTTTTCACCTTTCCAACATTCTCTCCGCGTGCGTCCCTAAATGATACTTCACGTCACCGGAGCCAAAACCTTCCAGAGGAATCGGGTGGAATTGGGTAAGGAGCTGATGCAGTGGTTTCGAGCAAATGTTGATCAAGGTGTTCAATCGACCCCGATGAGCCATTCCTATCACAGCAGTTTCTACTCCTACATAGACCCCTTGCTGTATTATACTTCTCTCCTGATAAGGATTAGATTAATATGTTTATAGCCTTTACCATGTTCCGCGCATGTTTCCAAGCACTCTATCATCGATGGTATGAAAGACTCGCAACCCTCCAAACCAAACCTCTTTTCAGTTGGGAACTTCCGTGCCAGAAAGCCCTCGAACGTCACTGCTCTCATAATATTCAACCAAATGTGTTTCCTGTGCTCGGCTGGCAAATCCCAAGCGCCAGGAACTTCAAACTTGTCTCTCAACCAATCTAACTGGAAAAGATTTGACAAAATAATTCCTTACGTGATACCTTGACAACTGTTTCTTTATATTTTCTCAATTAACCTACCGTAATAAGATCATGGATGTAAGTGTACTCGAGGCCCAAATGTCCGCAATAGACTTGGTTCAACCTAATCAGTATCTCGCGCAAAGGAAGACTCCGTCTGGGTCCACCGATCACGGTGAATCGTGCAAGAGGAAATTCCTTGTTCATATCAGCCTCTGTCATTCCTTTCAAGTGTTCTCGCACCACGATCGCTGGAGGTAAGTTAGGGGTGCCTTGAAGCTTACGCGATTCTGGATTCTGTATGCCCAGTGGGTCGGTATCGGCTATCAAATGGCCACGTGCCTTGAATCAATAAAGTCGGATAGTTTCTGATTATCTATTAGAATAAATGTACCAAAGAGATGCATTCTTAAGGCGAACTTAAACTTCACGATTTGGCGTGAACATTATCTTCGTCTGCATTTCATTCAAAGTAGAGACAGTGGACACAAAATAGAATTGATCGAATGGAATAGTTGAATAACAAATTAACAGTCCGTCAGGCAACTCGCTGATTCGCTATTCTGTGTCAAAATATGTCGATATTTCGCAAACCAGTGAAATAAATTCGATCATCGAACTGACGAAATCCAGCTATTATTTTTCGTATTTGCCGTAATTGAGTGATTCACAATGCAACGCGCAGAAGTGTGCATTCACCTTTAAGCCGTAATTTATGACAGATACCTGATAAGCCCGAATGGTGGCATTGATATCGAGAGCCCCACTTATAAAGCTTTCACCTTGCATGTCTCCGTCCGATTTCGATCTTGAACTTTGTTGAGGAAATCCAGGTGCTATACAGAAGGAAAACACTGACGTATTCTTTTACGATACGTGTATTTTTTGTCAGATAAACGTATTGCAATATTATAAACGCCTCGAAGTTTATAAAAAGACCTACCTGAGTGTCGTACACCAGTTAGATTCCCGGGTACCACGTTTGACGACGATTCAACGCGAACAACCGATTGTTTGGTGGATGGATTGGTGGATGGATTGGTCAATTCTGGTGGATTATCAGCGTAAATTAACTTGAAATAGGAATCCCATGATGCGTTCACGGACTTTGGGTTCTTCTTCCACATTTGGTACATGTGATCCAAGTATTGACTGTTGGTCATATTCAATACGAAGTCGTACTTGTTGTCCTTACGACCACCTTTCTCATCGTTATGTTTGAAACGAGCGACATATTTGTGCGGGTCGGATGTCGTGGATGGGAAGCTTTTGAATAATTGTACTTTCTCATTGCGATACTTGGACGAGCGATATATATACGAGATGAGAGATCGAATACTACGATATGACTGTGAATTCGTGTACATGTCCCATGCGAGATCGAGAAACGGGAACCGGGTGAATTTACGCGACCACTCTCGAAATTTCGGAATTGTTAGCCAAATCTACTGAATTTCATTTGTACCGGGAGTCATGTCATCGTGACACCTGACTGTTTCGACGTTTGCACCTTCGACCAGCTTCGGTCAATATTCTGTAGCTTCTCGTACGAAGTTGCTCGCTTCTCGAGACTGATATTTGATACTTTGCTTCTTGTCGGGGTAGCTTGAAAGATAAAAGTGCCACAACACCGTCGGTTGTGTTCAATATTAGCTATACAAATGTCCCCCCAGAGTATCGGATCATCGAAATTAATTTATCCAAATTTTTCAAAGATTTATTCCTCGTAACGATCACACGAGGGGAAAAAAAGAATGAAATAATCGAATCGATTATCATAGGGGTAACTTCTCTCGCATTTCACGTTACAGCCTCGATATGGCGTCAAACTTCTGCCAATTCACCACTTCACGCGGAAATGTTTGAAACAGAGATCGGTAATTTGACATTATAGAACAAAGTGGAATGAAATAATGAGATGATGCACCATGTTACTCAACCCATAGATGATTTAATTAACCTACCTTACATAGACATACAACTCGATATAGAATCGTTTAGCAAAAGAGTATTGCAGTTTATTCGCAGAAAATGGTTTAAATCGAAGAAATGGTTGCGCGTGCCAGTGTTCCTAAGAACCCCCTATACTTTTTCCCATGTGGTACTATTTGTGCAAGCAAGTCACAACATACTCTTCAACGATTCGCCTTATTATTCTTCGCAATGGATTTAATTACGGAATATCTTTGTATAGGGTAGTGCGACATCGATATACACGGATCATAGGATTATAACTATCAGTCCGAGTAACGACCCGAAGCAAACAATTTTTCCAAACAATCGTATCGTCTCTCAAAAAGTGAGTATCGCGAGTTAATTAGCGGCAAACATGTTTCTCTATAGGATGATTCATCTCCGGACTGTTTCGTTTACAGTACACAATATGGAACTTCATACCGAAGAATCTCTTTGAGCAATTCAGACGGATTGCAAATTTCTATTTTCTCGTAATGACGATAATATCTCTGTTGATATCATCTCCGATTTCACCGTTAACCAGCATTCTACCGCTAAGTTTCGTCATATTGGTAACCGCCTGTAAGCAGGGCTACGAGGATTACCTTCGTTACATAGCCGACCAACGAGTAAACCGAACACTCGTCACAGTTATTCGCAACAAGTGTATACAGGTGAGTGCAGTTGCTTATCGAAAAGCACAATTGCTTTGAATCGGCGTAATAGTTTCGTAATACTTATCCGGTTACTCCTGGAACTTAAACGTGAAATAAAACTTACGGTTTGTACAATAGAGCATATTATAGTTTACACTGATAAGCCATCAAAGACACAAAAAGTATATATATAACATTTCAAGTTTCTCGTTCTTTGTGCTATCGCGTTTATCGTGTGACAGAAACCTCGACGATAAAGAAGGTAACAGAGTAACGTCATAGTCGAGGTAACGTGGATAAAATGGAAGATGAACATGAGTTGGGAGACATTACCTGCGATTTAATATAACTTATGTCATTACCGTATTTCCCAATTCTTTATTTTATTTTATATTTTTAGAGCATCCACTGCCAACAAGTAGTAGTCGGAGACTTGGTGAAGGTCTGTCGGGAGCAAGACATTCCTTGTGATCTCTTGCTTCTTTTCAGCACTGAAGATTCCGAACGTTGCTACGTCACCACGTCCAATCTCGATGGCGAAACCAACTTAAAGGTAACTCTATCTTAATCGAATAGCAAGCGATAAGTTTTAATAACTTCGTAACCGAATTTTAAGTTCATCGCGTTGATGATAGCTATTAAGTCGTTGCTTGTTTAGAGCGTGATGATTCCAAAGATAGCCTCAAAAATGACCATGCCACAAATAGCATCCATGGAGGCAACTGTAACCTGCCAGCATCCTTCGTCCGATCTCTACAGCTTCCATGGAAAACTGGAAATCAATAAAGAGAACAATGAAATAAAGAGTGGACACTTGACGATTAACAATTTGTTGCTACGTGGGTCCAGATTGAAAGACACGGATCACATTATCGGCTGTGCGATATACACAGGTCACGACACAAAGTTGTCTCTCAATTCCAAGATCAGGAGCAACAAGTTCTCCACGGCTGAAAAGTAATTGCATCAATGTACAGAGTTCGCGTGAAATGGAAATTGGTATTTTATTCCCAAATTCAAAGGTTATCCTAGTCTGCGTTTATTTGCAGATCCATTAATAAACATATCGCTACGTTCGTAGTGCTATTGATAGTCGAGGTGCTGGAATCATGTATGATGAAAATCATAATGGAGGAAACAACGCACTGGAAATCGTACCTTGGCGACAGTACTGATGTTACTTTTTTCTCGCTGGTTACCGACTTCCTGAGCTTCACCGTCCTGTACAATTACATCGTGCCCATATCATTGTACGTGACCATAGGTAAAAATCATTTTCTTCGTCTCTATTTCGTCCCACAAAAATGTCTGTCCCTCAATACCGAATCACCATTGCTCGAAATAGCAATTTTACCGATTAAAGTTTACATGGCTCATCTTAACCTATTAGGCACTACGCGCCATTATAGTGGCTTTCGCGGATGTCTCTTCTCTGAACGACGCGCCACTATAGTGGCTCACTCTAGTAGCTCACTCACTCACCGCTTGAATTAAATAATCGCCTTCATATGCATTGTTTCACACTTCTTTTTTCTTCACATTGATTTCATATCATACCCAATTGTATTATTAATTATTAAAGTGAATTGTTAAAGTTAAAGTATGTGTAATATATTTAAAAAGAAAGTCTCAACTTAATCATCAAATACTTCATTCCAATGTACTCGCGTAGAGAACGGCATTATCCGTCACACATTGCAGTGCTGTATAGTTTATACGTAGTTCGAGTCAGACTCTGCCATCCAGAGAAATACCCTCATGCAGAATTCAGCCGTGCCTAAAAGATTGACACGACCATGATTCAAATAAGAACATCTGACAAGCTCTGATAACTTCTTCTCGTTACAGAATTACAAAAATTCCTCAGTTCGTTTTTCTTCAATTGGGACATCGACATGTACGACGAAGCCACGGATCAACCAGCATTAGCCAACACGTCGGATTTGAACGAAGAACTTGGCCAAGTGGAATACTTGTTCGCGGACAAGACTGGCACGCTCACCGAAAATCTCATGGTGTTTCGACGTTGCTCGATCAATGGGAAATCCTATATGGAGAAAGATTGCGATGGATCGCTATATCTCTTGCCTCCTAGCGGGAACGAGAACGAGGCTGTCAAATTAACGACCTGGAAGGTATTACCGCATTTCTGAGCAAACCTACCGATTTCTTAAAGCCGGCATTCGATAAATTTTTCGACTGAATTTCAGCCAGAAATTTGGCATTTTATGATAAGCATTGCCCTGTGTCATTCGGTTCAAATCTCACCACCGAGTCAAACACCGATAATCACCGCGAGACGCAAAGAATTTCGAGAAAGCTTCAAACAAAAGAAGGTGATTCAAGTGAACAGTTCTCTGCTAATGCATCCGGACTTGCCAGAGTATCAGGTAAACAAATTTATCTTCTCTGTAAATATAACGACTGACGGTGGATTTATGCGTCGAATCGTAATAACGTAACATTTGGAACTTTTAAAAATATCGGATCACTTAGGCAACATCGGCAGACGAGAAGGCTTTGGTCGAGGCCTCTGCCAGGTGTGGAATCATCTTCCAAAGAAGCACCAGCGACGTTATTGACTTAAAAATTGACAATAAAATTTTGACTTACGACAAGCTCGAAGTCTTAGAATTTACATCCGGTTAGTACTCGAAGGATCGTAGAACCTCTAATGTATATATCCCAAAAAGCATCAAATTTTCGTCCACAGAACGCAAGAGGATGTCGGTAATAGTGAAAGATTCGGCTGGAGATTTTTGGCTATATTGCAAAGGGGCGGATTCAGCTATGTTTCCACTAATGGTCTCGGGGAAAATTAACGAAACTATTACTCACGTTGCTGATTTCTCTATGGTTGGTCGACTAGACTACCGAAAATTTCATCGTCTCCTCTGTTTACTTCCCCGTTAAAATAAACGCCTTTCCTTTTAGAGGGGTTTTCGAACTTTGGTTATCGGGTATAAAAAGATGAATCAGAGGGAATACGAACAACTGGTACAGAAAGTGGAACATGCCAGACAGATAATTGGAATCGAACGAGCAATATATATGGAACGAGCTTACAACGCGATGGAAAGCGGTCTCACTTTACTAGGTGTGACCGCCGTCGAGGATCGTCTTCAAGAAGGTGTGCCAGAAACGCTCGAATCCTTACATGTGGCTGGAATTAAAGTTAGTAACATTAATACAGAGAATGAAATGAAACGGAGCAAGTTTCTTTTAGCATTTCGTACTTCTACCTTCGTTTAGATATGGGTGTTGACTGGTGACAAAGCGGAAACCGCAGAAAATATAGCATTTCTCTGTGGCCAGTTCAAGAATGGTACCGAGGTACTGAGAATATTAGAAGCAATCGTGGAGGCAACTTGTCTTCTCAAACTTACAGATTTTGAGTAGGTACAACTTAGCTGTTTCTCGTGTAACCGTTCAAACTTTGATCCATACTATTATCCTATTTCCATATGATTTCAGGCGAAGAATGAAGCTCGAACCTCATAAACAGTATGGATTGCTGATCGATGGATGTAGCATCACAGTTGCATTGAAAAACCATGCAGAACAGTTCAGATCAATCGCAATGGCCTGTAATGCAGTCGTCTGCTGCAGACTGACGCCGTTACAGAAGAGCGAAGTAAGTTTCTCATAGAATAAAACCAAACGTGTTTCTCTGTTATTTTCCTTCAATTTTACAGATCATAAATTTGATAAAAAGATCTATGTATCGACCGCACACTGCTGCCATTGGTGACGGAGGAAACGATGTTTCGATGATACAAGAAGCGCACGTCGGAATCGGGATAATGGGCAAGGAAGGTCGACAAGCAACCATGTGCTCCGATTTTGCGATAGCCAAATTTAAATTCTTAAAAAAGGTTTTGCTAGTACATGGTCACTGGTATTACATGAGAGTTAGCATATTAACGCAATATTTTTTTTACAAGAATTTTATTTTCATCACGCCGCAACTACTGTTCAACGTGTATTGTGGCTTCTCCGCACAGGTAGAGACAAATTTATCATTACGTTATATTCTCGTAACAAGCTAGTTTAGCTCGTCTATTTGCAGGCATTTTACGACGCCTTATTCCTAATGCTTTTCAATGTATTATTTACGTCTTTACCAATATTGACGTATGGACTATTCGAACAAAATTACACTGCTGATGAACTCTTAAATAAACCATACTTATACAAATTACATCGACATAACTATTTATTATCTAGATGGCAATTCCTTTTATGGACTGCTCTAGGTAAAAAATTAATTATTCATTAGTATTGAAAATACTAAATACTACAAACTGAGTATTTCACGAAATAAATATGATATATTCTTTCAGCGCTTTGGCATACTCTCACCATATATTTTATGTCCCACTTGTACATATCCATCAATCCTGTTACTTTGTATAATAACACACCGGTCGACCAATGGACATTTAGTACATTTGTCTTTCATTTAGTTACATTAGTGGCCAACCTACAGGTATGTTAAACAAGATACTTCAATTTCAAAATGCCTTTTACACGATATTCTTTTTTCTCCCATCTTTTAGGTACTATTTCGTAGTTCCTACTGGACATTGCCACTGGTATTAACAGTATTATTGTCAGAATTAACGTTCATTATATTTACTTTTATTTATTCATTCATGCACAAGTAAGGAAAAATATTTTCAACTTCATAATTTCAATAGACCTTACACTTTGTTGCATAACTCTGACATATTTTTTTCTATTTTACAGAAGATACGACGGCGATATGTTAAGAGTATTTGACATATCGATATTGTCGCTCACATTTTGGTTTCTGACCATCATCATCGTTATCGTTTGCCTAATTCCGGACTGTTTAGTCGTTATATACAACAATGATAGGCCCATGCGTATAATGAGGAGGAACGAAGAACCGCCGCAATGCATTGACAGCAACAACGAGAACGATAACGTGAGAAATGTATTTATTCTGTGTCATGTATTCAGATAAGCTATTGTTGCTAAACTTACGATAACCAACACGTTTCCATTTGCAGACGCAACGCTTTTTTAACATGATCCCATGGAAGCACAGTTTTAAACCACGGAAAGCCGAATGAGGTGCAATCGCATCGGACAACTTCAATTCTAATCAAGTTAGTAAAGTGTTCTTCATATAGCATGGAATGTAGATCGTTTATTAATTTATCATTCATTCATCGGGAAGAGTATATAGATTGGTTTATTATTATACTCCTACCGGGTGGTAACGAGCAAGTGTCTATTCGTAAAAATACTTTACGCGTGATCCATAGCTTTTATCTGAAAGAACAAAATGGTCGTTGCAACTCGGTGAAGGTAGTAATATGATTTCGAGATCTATTTATAATATGTAGATAACGTAATCGCATTAGGCGTAGAATAATATAGAAATAACACATTTGACCTGATAATAAATGTAAATCGTGTTTTAACAATTTACATGTGTCGTTTTGGACTAATCTAAGTGATTGAGAAATTGTATTCTTAAACTGCCTAATAATGTACTAGAAACGATTCTTTAATTATCTTCAATATTATAATTTACTTAACGCAATGCTTACGCCATTGCAGAATTCAGAGTGTATTATACCGTTAGAAGATATTGTAAATATCATTTTGTATATCATTAGTCTTAGAAATGATCGATTATATGTTAATGTACAATCTAATGGTAGAGTTGCTTTTGTACTTTGTGACTGAAATACGTGCATTTTATTTTTTACTCTTTAAGCGACGGAATTTTATAATAAAAATTTTCACCGATCCATGGAACATTTATTATAAATAATTTTATACAGAGAAAAAACCGATTAATTCTGCGAAGACTATGCACGCGATAAGTTTAAAGTTCAAGAAAATCAGTCAATGACCATGTCTAGCAAAGATAATGATGGACGTATCGTAAGACGATTAAATATTCGACTCACTCTTTATTTCTCTCTTTATCCTTGTTGTGCATTCATCGGTGCACGAAAAACAGTGTTAATGCAGTAACGACTATTTCAACGTGATTCGATCATCTTCGAATTGACGAAAATATATTAGAAAAATTTCTTCTTTCATTGCATCGTATTTTACTCGTTATGAGAAAAAAAATGTGTGAAAGGAACCGTAGGTCGGACTATATTTTTCCAATGTCAAGCAGTCTACTCGACAATGCATTGAGTGTGAAGTTTTAAAGATTAGCAAATTCAACACGGATTCTAACCTTGAAAGCATGCTCAAGAACAATTTTGCAGTTACCTTTTTTAACAGATTTTTACCAATCAGAAGGTGTAAACTTAATCTCTAATGATCATGATAATTAATTTTCACACGCTTGTATATGTGTATATCCAGGAATCAAAATAAATTCGAAGCATCTCGTGATAAGAACAGACAGAGCTGTCAGTCGTGCGCTTTATTCTTCTATTTTTAAGAGGAAGATGGAAGAAAAGGACTAGGAGTGGGGAATGACATAGCGTAGGCCTGGGTATAGTGACGTCGAAAGCAAGGGCGAGGGCAACACAACACATTCTTGGTGGCGTTCTTTCAGTACGGTTCACACGCTTGCATGTGACCAAAGCAACCATCCCCACCCTGATGGTCCATACGCAGCGGCAACTACCGTGGGATGTGAGGTACGGTCGGTGTCACTTCCCACTCCTAGTCCTTTTCTCCTATTTCCACATTCAAAGTAGGGGAATGTAACGCACGCCTGACAGCTCTGTACAGAAATATCATTAAGTATTCTATTTTCCACATTGCAATATTCCATAATTTAAAGTTATTTATTTAGTTATTGAATTGTTTGTTTCATGTATGCTTACGCTAATAGAAACTTGATAGACAAATTTTTCAGGGAAACTTCTCAACTATAAACTTTTTGTAGTAATTGATACATAAACTTATCTAAGAAAAAGGTTGAGTTTTCAGTCTTAATAATTTTAATAGTTTTCTTTGCCTGCAAGGAAAATATAAAAGTATGTAGTTTAAAAGCGTTGCATGATACAATTTTAAACAATTTTATTAAAAAACTTAAATTGTATATTGCTGCATTCATTTATTATTTTTGAACTTGTGTTTAAACTATTTTGTTCGACTACTATGTTGCTCTTTTAAACTTGAACTTTTGTACTTATATATTCTGTAATATTCTATTCTCAATATTTTTGTTAATGTTAATATGTGTTATTTAAGTTAATGTTTAACTTTAATGCTAATGATTAATGTTTATAATAAATTTTTATGCCTATACATAAATGATTTTGTTTAATAAATCTATCAAACCTACATTAAATCTTAAAGATATTTTAACATTTTTAGGAATTTTTCTATATATTTTACTTTTTAGGTATGATAAACAGAAGAAGAATGAAAATTATATCATGTTATTTTCAACGTCTCATAATAACAGCATTATTTGTATTATTGATGTTTTGTATTGTTCAAGTTTTTCGTTCAGAGTTCGGATTCAACAATAATGATTTGCCAAATCTAGATAAACTGTGAGCAATTGTGTAATTCTTTGTAATATAAAAATGTGGTATCTTTAATTGTGAAAATTTCTGTTATTTCAGAATACATATATCTCAATTAATTGAAGAATCTGAACAACCTGGTATTGGGTATATATAATTTTATTAGAAAAATTATATTTTAAATCAAAAGAAAGCAAAAAGATGTATATGACTTTAGGGAAAGTATTGTTGCTTGCA